GGGTTTCAATCCAAACTAGAAAATGATGGTTGAATTAAGTGTCTGGGTGCTTAGCTAAAGAATTTGAAATATGCAGAAGGCTTGATGAGATTCGCTTTTCTAATCCATTCACTGCTTGGATATGCTGCAACTAAATGCAACCATTATTTATCTGAATATTTACAAATGAAAAATGCTCTATCAAGAACCTTTGGATCATCCTTTCTCTTTTCAGGCCTGCCTTTTAGCCAGACCTCTGCTTCTTAGTACAAAGGGAGAGAGGAATGAAGATAAAACTAAAACTCACTTAGTCGCTTCTTTTGTAGTCAGATCACAGGCAGAGAGATCGATACAAATTTATTAGAATCAAATTAAATTGTCCTTAGCCAAAGGCTGTGTTAACTTATGGGCAAAGAATCAAGTGATTTAATTTTAAAATAAGTTATAAAGATTAAGACAGTGCAAAGGGTGCATTTCTGAACATCAAATAAATAACATTCACATTTAGCTTTCAGAAAAATAGAGAAACTTGACAAAATATTACTGTAATACATTACCCAATATCTAAAGTATCTTTTTCTTCAAACTTCGAACTAGAAGTGCAACAAATGAATGTAATTGGAGCTGTGACGCACATATGAATTTTATGTAATCCTGAATACCCTTTTGGCCTTGCTGGCCCTTAGAGTGCACATCACAAGCACGTATGTGTGATAGATTCAGAGAGACTTACAACTCTTTCCCACTTGCCTTTGCATGAAGGGAAATGGGGACGTTTTGCTGCCAGAACTTAAAATTATGATGTGCCGGCATGAAAAAGGCCCCAATTAACCTGCAGATAGCTGTCACATTGGTTATTTATGGCATGTCTGTCCCTGTGATTGTCACTCTAGTGCTCTTTAAAAGTGAAGTGATTATTTAATTAAGGGATTAATTGTTTCCCAGTGTGAATTATTCGCACAAGATAAAATTTTTATCAGTACATGATGTATCTAACCATATGCACCAGGGCTAAAAGATGACTGGGTTAAGTGGGAAGATTGATTTGATTAAGAGAGGGAACTGAAGAAAAATTCTGTGCTTCATTTCGCTAATTTTTGGTAACAAGGCATTATATGCATATGTAATTTTTTTTAAAGATTCCAATGCATGGAAAATATATATATAAATTTATCATTTTAGTGTTTAATGCTTTCTAACAAACATGTTGTCATGATGAACGTGAAAAATAAATGCCCAGTGTGACAATGATGTCTTGTCATCTCATCCATGCAAAATTAGCAGCCACAATGGAACCACCATCTGCCATTTAAATTCCTTCTGGACTCTGATATGCACAAATTATAAGAAAAATACGGAAAGAATGGTCCACTAATAAGGAAATAAAATTCATCATCTCAGTTTGGCCATAAATACCAGTCTTTGGATCTGTGAAGAGGTTATTATTGACTTGTAGACTGTAAGTAATTTCTGGTTGTTAGTCCATTTAATATGACAGGTCCTTGCTGTGTAACAACTGGCAGACTTTCGGTTCTGGCAAGCTACAGGGATGAAGACAGTCAGAAAAAAATTGCATAAGACCTCACATCATATGAGTGGTCTTAGGCAATTTTTTTCTCAATTATTTTGATCTTAAGTAGATCAATCATGAACTGGTTTTTAACCCCTTCTTTCTGTTGGGTGGCTTCCCTCACCTTCCATGTGAGAGTGACCAGCTCCACATGGCTTCTTTTTTTTTTTTTTTTTTTTTTTTTTAGAACCGGGGATTGAACTCAGACCCTTGTGCTTGCCAGGGAAGCGCTTATTCTACTGAGCCATCTCCCTGGCCCCACCACATTGCTTCTGTTCTTCATGGTACACTGTGGCTAACTGCAATCGATAGAATGGAGAATGAAGTCAGAATTCATTTCTTTCCAGGCACTTAAGAGTCCACTGGGGCTCTGTACTCAATGGTAGAAGTGAGCTGATTAGAAAACCTGAAAGATTTGTTAGGATAGTGAATTCCCAAACATTCCTCAAGTGCATTTTAAATATGAGGAAGAAGAAAAATGCTCCCATGAGAAGGATCCTCAGTGTCACTTATGATTGCTTATGTTAACATGATAATGAAAAATCCCAGCACACTGATCATTAAAAAACATTTAGACTGATTTAAGTATGCACAATTAATGCTTGACAATGTTAGAGTGAAATGTAGGATTCTTCTTCCAATAAGTGTTGCCTGTTAATTGGGAAGATGTGTATGCACACATACATTGGTGCATACAGACTTGGGCGTGCACTGCTTAGGAATCAGGTCTCTAAATTCAAAATGGAAAAAGAACCTTTTAACTAGTAAGCGTTGGATCAGTTTTTAAATTAAATGCTTTTGAGAAATGAGTAATCACATGTACCACTGGTCAGTGACTCATTTTCCTTTAAGAACAGAAGTTTTTGTTTTATTTTAATCAACTATTTCAGTTTACTACTGGGAACAAAACATTATTCTGGGAATACAGCAGCTAGATGTTTGAAGACCATTAGCAATTCTTCAAAGTCTAGGCAATTTCATTTCTACTAAATGTAAAACGAATATTTTCACCTTCCACTAAATCTTGAATCTTATCAAGTTTAATTCTAGGCCTTTTTTTTCTTATTCTCTCTAAAAGGATCCAGTGCCACCTAAATGCCTCCATCTCCCAGATGTGCACCACTAGTTCAGGCCTGTGCTTTGAACTCCACACTCATATCCCACCTTGAGTGGAATAGTTGCAGTTCAGGTGGGAGCTAAATCATCCCAGTGAAGGTCTACCATCCATTTAATTTTGTGGTGCCTGCATCAACTTTATTCTCAATGTCTAGTCTACCACTGAGTTATGTTGATTCCATTTATTGAATATTTTTATTTTTATGTATTTAGTACAGGGTCTATAGGGTCTCACTACACAGATCAGACTTAAAGTGATCCTCCTGTTTTCAGCCTCCCAAGCACTGGGATCACAGGCATGTGCCACCACAACCAGTCTCATTCACCATCTCAGCACATGCCGGGGGCAGGGCTGACAGTGCACACTAGGGGTTGAACCCTGGTCCCTGTGCCTGCCAAAGCAGGTGCTTTAATCCACTGAGCAGTCTGTCTGGCCCTTACTGAATATTTTTCAATTGACATTCTTCTTTTCTTTAGCCACCATTCTAGTTTGGATCACTGTGCTCTCCTGCTTAAGTACTTCAATGAACTTCTCACCAATACCTTTCCATCCCCTCTGATGTTCCTCCAATACCTTTTTTTTTTTTTTCAAAATATGAATCTTTTTTGTTCGCCTTGTTCACATAAAATTAGTTGACAACTTCTCATTTTTTCTTAATCCAAAGATCTCAGGGTGACCTCCGAGACTGGCAGCTGTATGAACCCCTCCTAACCTAGAATAATTGTCAGCTGACTTCCCCATATAGTTAATTTCTGAATACCTGGTAGCCCTGACCTCAAAGGAAACTTCCACAGCAAAGTGTCCCCTAAACAATAAACTGTCATGGGACAGGAGGGCTGTCCTTCCCAGCATTTTACGCAACTTGCAGCTGTACACTTCCTTTTATGATTATTGGTCAGTGTCCCGCAGGATTGTAAGGACCATCAGGTGTGGTCTGTGTCTGCTTTGCTCTTGGTTGTGGTCCTAGATGGAGAGGTTGAAGGCTTGTGGCTAGAAAGACAGCTTGCACTGTTTGGATTTGTCCTGATAGTCGCAGGATGCCTTTGAAGGATTTTAACCCAAGTAACGATGTAATCAGGTGTCTGCTATGGGAGACTCGCCTTGGATGAGGTTTAGAGACATCCAGGCAAAACTGCCAAAATGCACAGTAAGGCAGAGTCACAGCAACTATTAACCTTTGCTGTTATTTCTTCATTTCACTCTATCTCTCCTCTCTAAATCCAGTGACAAGGGTTGTTTTACATGAAACTGCTCAAATGTTTGACTATCAATTATTTCTTCATTTGAACAATATTGATTGGATTCCTAAGTACATGCTTGACTGTAGGAATAACAACAGTGAGAAGTAGGCCAGGCTGAGATGCGTATCTCTAGCTCTCTCTGACACATTCCTCCTTCGTGGGGGTTAGCCAGAGTGTAATCCAGTGTGAGGAGTAGGGTGGGAGGTTGATGGAGTGCTAGGACTCTGAAGAGGCTGTAACAAAATACTTCCCTGGTCGTGCTAGAAAACGCCTCCAAGAAGTAGACTTTGCACTAGCAGAAAGAAAAGGGTTTCACTGTAGAAAGTTAGGTGGTGGTGGTGGTGGGGGGGTCATTCTTAGTGACTGGGACAGAATGTGCAAGGCCCAGATGTGTAGAAGGGCGCCACTGGGGAAAGTCTTTCTCCTTGGATGCGTGGAGGGAAGGTGGCAGGAAATGAGGAGAGGAATGTTACAGTCATACTGTAAAGCAAATATTCACACTATGAATTGCAGTAGGCATATCAAGCTGTGGGGCGCCAAAGGTCATTGGATTCCTGTCACTGTTATCTGGTTTAAAAAATAGAATGTGAAGAAATTTATATGAAAAGTCAAGGGCTGGGGACGTAGCTTAGTGGTAGAGTACTTGCCTAGTATGTGCAAGGCCTGGGATTCAGTCCCCAGCACCACGCAAGAAAAGTGTTATATAAAAAGTCAAACAGTTTATTAGGAAAACAATGACTAATGCAGTAAAAGTAATAATTGGGGTCTGCGAGATAGCTCAGTGGTCTCAAGCGCCTGCTTAGGCAAGCGCAGGGACTGCAGTTTACCCTGGCACCACATGCCATGCCAGCCCTGCCCCCAGGGTGGGCTGAGCTACTCACACGCACACAAAAAAAGAGTAATAATCATCCAAAACCAAAAAACAGAAGAATCTTGGTCCTGCCGGCAGTAGCTGGTTTTGTGCCTCTGAGGGAAGAGCGGGCCTGGGCCCCCATTGGGCTGACCCCGACTAGCAGTGAGGTCTGAGGTAGTGAGCATGGCACAACTTCCCGCAGGCCGTGCTATGACCCCTGTCTGGATTTGTGTCTTGCAGTTCCATGGAGAACGGGAGACCACCTGATCCTGCAGACTGGGCTGTGATGGATGTAGTCAATTATTTCCGAACAGCAGGATTTGAGGAGCAAGCTCGTGCTTTTCAGGAGCAGGTACCTCCATCTGGAGAAACATGACAAACACAATTACCTCCCTTGTCACTGTGGGCAGAATGGGAAGAGGACCAAAGAGCAGTGAGGCTTTAAGAAACTGAAGGCAAAGGGGGGATGCAAATGACAGAGGAACAATTCCTTCCCTCTACCACTGGCCTTAGTCCATTGAACTATTTCAGCAGGGCACCTAGCAAGGCACACTGCAGAATTTAGAATAGTATTCTGTGTGGCCCTATGCAAGTAATTATAGCTCTCTGAGCTTAGTTTCCCATCTCATGCGAGGCCATCAACAACTAACTTTATAGGAAGTTGTTGTAAGCACTAGAGGACAAGATGTAAAAATTGCCGGACAGGTCTGGGCGTAGTGCTGATATGTAAGTATGTGAATTGCTTTCCCTGAGACCCAGGATTGTTAATACAAAGAGGGAGAAAGAAGCAGGATTTTGTCCCACTTGTCCAGGTGATGGACCACTCCATCTTGCTGGCTGAACCAGATCTGCTGAGGTGGTCCTCCAGAGACTTTGACCATGAGAGGCAAGTTGGGGACATACTGGGGTCCACCCAAGTCGGCTATGTAGGGAAACACAGAATTCCTATTTTTCTATGAATGGGTGTTGTAGTTTTCTCAGTATTAACTTCACTTTTCTAGCATTATAACCTCAAATTGAAAGATGTGTCTGGCTTTTTCTTTCATGTCCTTTCAGTATTAGTTATTTCTCAAGCTAGTAGATATATGGCCTGAGTTTGGATAGGGTATTTTTTCTATTACCACATATTTTAATCTTGTCAACCACCATTTCCTGCAAACCGGAACCTTGTACATATGTATTTTTTTGTTATTTTGGAAAATTTGCCAAAGTAGAAATTGCAATCACTTTACACCCACCAGAAGAACTAAAATTAGAAGACTGATATTGCCAAATGTTCACAAGGATGTGTAGCAACCGGAACTCTCCTACATAGTTGGTAGGCGTTTAAAGTAAACACTCATACATCTACCCCATGACCCAGCAATTGTGCTCCTGGGTATTTACCCAAAGGAAATGAAAACATATGTCTATAAAGAGATTTGTACAAAATTGCTCCTGGCAGCTTTCTTATAATAGTCAAAAATTGGAAGCCTGTGTATACATCAACAGGAAATGACTATGCGAATTATGATGTGTTCATACAATGGGACAGTATCAAGGCACCAAAGAGGAATGAATTCCTGACATTTACAAAAACTTGAATGAGTCTCGGAATACTACACTGAGTGATCGAAGTATATTCAACAGACATAATGCTGAATTGATCCATTATATTAAATTTTGCAAAGAAAATAATTATAATGACCTCTGGACAGGTGCGAGTGGGAATGATTAGGAAGAGATGTGAGGGTCCTTTCTGGGATGTTGATGTTCTGTATCATGATGAAGGCTTGGATTACAGCTCACTGCGCTGTATACTCCAGTCTATACAACTGTGCATAGTTGTACATTACATAGTCTACAAGTTCTACCTCAAAAGGAACGCAAGTATAAAGGCATTAGAGAATGATACGGCAACCTGATATATTTGAGAGCAGGTGTACTGATCTATACATCCAGATATATAATTAAATAGAGGTGTCACTGCATGGATAGCTTTGTGAGAAAGTCAGTACCAAAAATATTTATTGTACAATCTTGGTGGTAGGAATATGTATGTTGCTCTAAAACTATGACAACTATTCTTTATGTTTGAAAATTCTATAATTGTAGCGGAAAATAACAGCTCAAGTTGGAAAGTGGAAGGTACCAGCTGGAACATATTTTACTTTGATTTTTAATGGTGTAATGTCTACTTGTGTCATTGCAACTGAGTGTCTCTTAAAATTACATTTGAATAATATTGTAAAAGGTTAACAGAAAAAAAAAAAAGACTTAGCTAATAGGTCTCTTGGCCAGATTCCCAGATGTCCAAAAGCTTTTCAAGTGGAGCTTTTGCTCAGATTCCCCTGAGGCAGATGTCCCAGAGTGGGGGACAGTGTGCTCCCTGGAACTTCCAGATTCTGCGCATGCCCTCAGGCAGGACTGACCAGCTCTGAGATTGACCCAGGAGCAGGACTTTTCTCCCATGGATGACATCATTCTGGGCACTAGAGACACTGAGATGAAAAGAGGAACATTTCATTCAGAAATCCTCCAAAGGTGAAACAAAGATCTCCTTGCTACAGTGGTGAGTCTGCCAACCCAGGAGCCTGAGAAATGAATTCCGAGCACACTGACGTTTTGCAATCTTGGCCCAGAAACTCAAGTTCCATCATTCTTACAGAAGGGTACTGGGGTGGGGTTGAGGGGTGAGTTGTGATTATTCGCTGGAAATTACCCAGATCTGAAATTTCTGAAATGACTGTTGCTTTGCCTCATCAGAAGAAATAGAGGGCAAAGTAGGAGTCACTGGTTAGGCTCAGGCTAGTCAGACAAGTCATTGCTGTGATTTGCATGAGGACTGTGAATTGTCCTTGTTAGGCTGCCGTCACACACGTTAACGTGCTTCTCCCACCAATCAATATCACTTCCGGGGTCTTCCTGGCAGTGGCCTCAAGCAGATAGGCAGATAGCTTTCTGTCACCAAATGCATCCTGACAGGAAGACTACAGACCACCTCCAGCCTAAGTTCATGGCAACTTCTGGGTACATTTCTGGGTCATAGCAATGGAGAGCCATAGAAGGGCCAGCCACAGTCTGCGATCTTCAGAGGGAGGGTTTTGCCTTACTATCTGACATAATTAGGACAGGGATGGAGAAACGTCACTAAACCTATCTTTGCAAAGAGCCCATTCAGAAAGGGCAGCACAGTAGCCAGTGACATGAGAAGCTTATTGTTTCATGTCTATTACAAACCACATGATTGTGTCCACCCAGATTCCTGACATGAAAACCTCCTCTGAAGTGTGAGGGTACCAAGAGGCAAGACTCTGGGGAGGTTTAGGTTTGGATGAGCTCATGAGGTTGGAGCTCCATAATAGGACTAGTGCCCTTCTTAGGAGAGCCACAGAGCTAGACACCCCTCCCCACCACTGTGTATGGATAAGCAAAAGATAACCGGCCATCTGCAAGCCAGGAGAGTCTTCACCAAGGTAACTCTGCTGATGCTCTAATGTGAAGGTACTGACACTGATGCCAAACATGTGCACCCAAAAGTGGACTGACTTGGGTAGGAGAATCTGTCCTCGTGGTGTGGCCTCAGAGTACAGTGCTGGACACTCGCCTCTAGCAGCCTGGCTTTTGAGAAGTAAAGGGAACCCAGGAATTTTACTTTCCTAAGAGTTTTGATCTTTAAGAAAGACCATTCAACTTACTCAACACAATCTCCATCTTCCTCAGAGAACATTTATGATAATTACTGGGTCAAACTCTGAAAGCTGAATTTGACAACGTGAGTCTCTAATGCCATCTGTATTAGTAATGTTTATAGATACCAGTTAAGAAATTGTGGTATTCCATTATAAATTAGACCACACTGGATCCTCACCGCGAGTTCCAAAGACAGTTCTCCCTGCTGTGGCGTAGCACTTCATTTCCTATGCCTCTGTCCTTCTGATTCACATAAAGTGTATGCAAAGAAGACGTAAGATAGAGAACTGCCATTCAATCACTGTAAGTGACATCAATGTTTTCATTTCTAAAACAATATTTATCTCTGAGATCATTTCTTTCTGAGTGTCATGACAAAATAATCTGCAGCCCATGAAAACAGGAAGAACACTATGAGCCCGAGCTGCATAGTGAGACCCTATAACAACCAAATATGTTACAATAATAATAATAATAACAACATGCAGCCCAAGGTGACAAATTAATTTTATTCTATGACTTCCTTACTTCAAGCCACATTAATAAGAACAATATTTTATTCTGAAATGTCCAAATGGTTAAGTCATTCATTTGAAACATGAAGGTTGGTGGCATTTCTTTTCAACTAACTTATTACTAACTTTGAGTCAATGTCTAAAGTCACTGACTCAATGAAGATAAATAAAATTTCTTACTGCTACAGATGGCCAAGTCGTACTACCTATCTCAAAGCGCACTGGTGAGGTGGGAGGTCAGTGAGAGTCCCACTGAGCATAGATCCTAAACCATGCCTAGAATGAATTCAGCCAAAGTGGTTCCAGACTGATATTCCTAAGCAGACCAGAGAAAAAGCTAGGTTTTGTGGGGCCTCAAGTTTATGCAATTCTAAGATTCCACCTTTAAAAAATACATTGCAAAAGTATGAATACAAAGTGTTAAACAGAAATTTGAGCTTCATGGTAAGCCAGCTCTGAACTAGGCCACTTTAAACCTCACATATTGGAAATTAATAACTTTACTAACATCTAATAATACCAGTATTGAGAATGTCCAAATAGCTCTGATGCTTAATATGTCTTAGTAATTGAAGACTATTGAAATGCTTAATATATTTTATGACATAATAAGTAGGGAAGTGGCAAGGAGACTCTGCTGATACAACTTTTCAGTCTATAAATATTCAGCAACAATATGAAAATAACAAGCAAATGGGTGAGGTTATGTATCAGTGCTTACTCAAAAAATTGATTTTATGCAAGACACACAAATATAGAGTTCACAAGACTGGCTTACAGTGGCCACCCAGTCAGGTGTGGAGGAGAGCAAAAGGGCTGTGCACTGGGGACCCAAGAGTCCAGTCAAAGGCCTGGAGCTCAGGGACGTGTCCTGTGCAAGTCCATGCCAGGAGGCCAGAGGGTCTGCACTGGAAGCCTGGAGACACTATTCAAGGTGAAGACAAAGACTGGATTTCCTCTGAAGAAACAGAAGTGAGCATTCCTTTTTCTCCTTCATATGTTTAGGGCATCCTGTCACTCTAGGATAGCTCTTCTGTCTTTAGTAAATCCTCTCAGCCATACTCAGAGCTATGCTGATCTAATTTAGTTGGCTGTTTCCTACTCCGATTGACATGGTCAATTAATGTCACAGGCTAACAGTTGGAGAGTGGCCAAGAGAACTGAA